GAACCACATTACTAGAGAATGAGAGAGAGAAAGAGAAAGAATGAGTTTGTACTTTGGGAGAGAGAGTGTGGGCTGAGAGAGAGTCATGTGACCCAGAATAGAGGAGAAGAGAAAAAGTAAGGGCATTTTTGGTCTTAAATCAATTGACTTTTTGAATTGTGATTTAGGGTGTACAAAAAGTTTTAGGGGTAGGATGTTTAGAAAGTTCAATTTTGGAGTTATTTATAATTTTGAGAGACATTATTTTTAGGGCTCTATTATGCCTTGTTTGAAAACATGTAGCCCACAATCTTTCTCTATGTAGGGTCTTTGGTTTTTCAGATACGTCCTCTTAATTTAATAATATATATATTATAGATAAAAGCTTCTTTGTTTTTTTTGTAATTCAGTGGGAAAGACATGCCCCTACTTGTTTTTTCATAAAACTAATGATTTAGCTTTTTTAAAAACCACGTTACCACGTGGTAACTAGGTATGGGGTGCTACCACCATGACCCAGTATATGCACAAAAGGTGCACACTCATCCTTAAATGGTTCATATTGAAGCATACTCATTCAAAGGTTAAAAACAAATTTTTATTTTTATTTAAAATATCATTGATATGATATTTAGGTTTTGGACTCATTTTTATAAGTAGAATTAAAAAAAATAATAAAAAAAATCTGGACTCATTTTTATAAGTAGAATTAAATAAAAATAAAGAAAAATTAAAAGAAAAATATTGTTCAAAATAAATTTAAGGGTATTTTAGTTATGAGTTTTGTTGTTTGTTAGGCTACACCACTTGCCCTCAACATTGTTAGACATTTAGATGCCCTTATCCTATAGTATCGTAACTTTTTGTTTAGGGGTATTTTAAGTAATTAATCAAGAGTAAACTATAAATTTCTAAATGAAACAAAATCATTTATTAACAATAGTGGACAATAACATCACACATACGGTGTGTGACATCATCCATAAGATGCATTAATTATTTTTAACTACTAATAGAATGTCATTATTTTATTATAAAAATATCCATTCTACATTTTTAAATAACAAAAAATATCCTTACTTGAAAAAAAAATTTTGTATTACAATTCAAGGGTATTTTAATATCCAGAAATGTTGAACATTTTAAAGGTCTATACCACCAAGCGGTGTTGCCTAACAAAACCCTTTAGTTATTTTTTTATTTAAAATATTCTTTAATTATTTTTATATAGTTCTTTCTATAAAATTAAACCCGCATCCTAAAATTCAGATAAGGTTTAATTTAAATAAAAATAAAAAATAAAATATGAAATCAATGATCTTTATGTCATTATGAAATCTCTGCCACTCGTGTGGTGCATGTGCACTCTCCAGCCCTCGACAGGGAGGGAAACTTTTCCCAAGGAAAGGGAATACTTTTCCTAAGGGAAGGGCAAAGCCGCATAGATATTTCTTGAGGGTAATAAATGCTCTTAACTTAACATAAATTAAGTCGGAAATTATTGACAAGATGCATCGATTATCGAGATGATATAACCACGTATCAAAAAATACGTGTTGGCCGTCTTAGCTCAGTGGTAGACTCAGTGGTGGAGCGCGGGGCTTTTAACCACGTGGTCGTTGGGTTCGATATGGCGTTCAAATCTGCGTTCGATCCCCATAGACGGGGATAAAAAATGGCATACAAATTTGGGTTCGATTCCCACAGACGGCGATAAAGAAAATAGTTTGATAGGGCGGCAGTCCCATTAAAATAAGTAAATCTTCATCTCTTAATTTATCAAAAATTACAATTAAATAAGTAAAGATTTATCTCATAATTCATCAAAAATTACAATTCAATCGTTGAAAAACCATTGAATATAATTAGGATTTTGAGCTCTAAAAATCATGTATATTGAGCTCTAAAAATCATGTATATTGTAATAAATTATCAAATTAGGATTTTAAGCTCTAAAACTCATGTATATTGTAACAAATTATCTACATGTCAATTTTACCTTAAAATTAAGTGTTCATAGATCCGTAAGATTTGTACTATCTTTTAAATTTCAAATTTTATTATCAGTGTTGAAAATTAATTTAGTTCCATCATGGAGATTTCTTTTGACGAAAGTGCTTTCCAAACGATGATGGAACTAAATTAATGCTTAGGCCTGTACAAACATCATCCTTTTAAGAATACCCATTATGTAGCATACCGGTAAAATGTTGTGAGGCCTCAACAAGAAGTTGAGGTATTGAACCCTGCCGGTTGTACGTCATTTAACGTATCAGAAAATCAGGGGAAAATTATTCATAAGACCTTATTCAATGACCTTATGAGATGGATCAAACAATTGATGGCGATGGAGACGGGGGGAAAGGGAAACGGGTCAAAATCAGGGGAAAATTATTCATAAGACCTTATTCAATGACCTTATGAGATGGAACGGGTCAGTCCATAGTTAGCAATTTTCTGTTTAACATATGATTTTTTAAAAAAAAAATTTGATTTTTTAAAAATCCCATAAAAAAAACTTAAGTTTTTCAAAAAATCTTTAAAAATTTATGTTTTTTAAATAGAGCCAATATAAATCCATATTTTATCTTTTTTAAATAAAAAATTCAAAATAATTTCTTCCCTATAACTTTGAAATAGCCTCTGGCCCTTGTCCTAGTCTAGCTATAGTCCCGCATACGACCAACCTAAGTCTGGCTAGCCTAGTTCGGTACGAAGAGCCGTTGTCCCATGCTTGGCTACAGCCCTGTTAAGGGTAAGGCCAAATATAATCAAATGAAAAATGAGAAAATTATAATTAAGAAAAAAAAGAGGCACCAAATCGGGTGGCCTTCCAGTGGCCTAGCCGAGGCCATTGAGCCCCGCATAGGACCAACCTAAGTCTGGCTAGCCTAGTTTGGTACGAAGAGGCGTTGTCCCACGCTTGGTCATAGCCCTGTTAAGGGTAAGGCCAAATATAATCAAATGAAAAATGAGAAAACATAATTAAGAAAAAAAAGAGGCACCAAATCTGGTGGCCTAGCCGAGGCCATTGAGCCATAAATGATTGTTTTAAAAAATAAAATATACTAAAAATAAAAAACCAACTTTGCTTAACCAGGTATCGATTTGGATAACTATGTTTTAAATATGTGACATTATAGTCTATGATTGTTTTTTAGCCCTTTCTTAGAAAAGCCCTTTTACCCATCTCGAGGTGCCCCAGAGCCAGAAATAGAGAGAATTTAGGACAAATCCATATAGGATCTGTTTGTATTTTTGACCGAGCAAATCTCAAAATTTTAGGACAATCTTTTTAGTACAAAGGGATAACCATTTTTTTTTAATAACATTAAAATAAAAAAAGAGAGACAACCATTTTTTATATATTTGAAAAACAATGGCGACTTTAAAACATTTAGAGAAGATATTTGAAAACTAAACGGCAGATATACTGATAGAAAATATTAAAAAAAAGATATGAATTGAAAAAAATTATTCAAATCGATAAACTTGAGATTTATGCATGGAGATGACAAATTCTTTATTTCTTAAATTCTTTAAAATTGTAGTATTCAAGTGAATGAATGGAATTAATGGCCAGATTTTTTTTTCTGAATTTTTACTCATAAATTTAATGTCAGCAACTAATTTCTACCAAGTAAATATTCTCCTAAATTGATACAAGTCTCTCACGACAATCTCTTTCGACTTTATTTTTCTTCTATATAAATTTACATGAGAAACTAGACTTTCAATTTGTCTAATCACTTGGGTTACTAAGATGGATTCCAAAACCCAAGAACAGTCCATCTCTCTCTAAAAAAAACTCACGTCTCCCTATCTCAAGCAAGCCTTATCCTAATTAAATTAATTAAGATCGTCTCTCTATCTCAAATAAGCTTTATCCTAACTAAATTAATTAACATTTATCTCTTTAAAACAACTTAATCATTTGTCTAATATTAAGACCAACCATATCCCAAAACAACTCGCTTTAACCTAACTAAATTAATTAACATTTATCTCTTTAAAACAAATTAATCTTTTGTCTAATATTAAGACCAACCATATCCCCAAAACAACTCATACACTGTCTTATCCACTAAACAACTCAAGCACTATCCTATTCATTAAAACAAAAATAAAATAAAATAAAATACAGGAAACGTTTATATAAGGTTGCAACATTAAAATGTAGAATCACAGATACACCTCAAAAATCTATTGGAAAGGCTGTTTTAATGTTGAAAAACCCTCTAATTGATCATCCCAACATCGAAATGTATGAATATTAAAAAAAAAAACGTTTTTGAGTCCCAAAAATAATGCATCTTGCAACATGTTATCTAGACTGTTCTTTTTCAAGATTTTCTTATGTTTATAGATCTACTTGATTTTAACCATTTTTGGAGTTTAAAATTTTCTAATTAGATATGAAAATAGTTTTTAAGATAATCCTTAAAAAAATTTACAACAAAATATGTTATGACAAAATTTGGAGGCGCGCCTTAATTGGATTGTTTAAGGTTGCAACCTTATAGAAACTGCACCCATAAAATTTTGATAAACCCAAATATTCAAAAATAAGATAAAATAAAATTTTGATAACCCCAAATATTTATTTGCATAACTTGCAAATTCGATTATGCAAAAAGCTTATTAACAGAATCAGAAAACAATATGCAGCAATTGCAGAGATTTCTATAAATATTCACTGTATACTGAATTTCTATAAATACTCACCGCATACTGACGTTGTTCTGTATGAATTTTCATTCCTCAAATAAACCAAAAACATATTACAGAGATTTTTATAAATAGTCACTGTATACTGAGATTGTTCTGTATGAACTTTCATTCCTCAAATAAAAAAATAAAAAAATAAAAAGTAGTGAACTTTTATTCCTCAAATAAACAAAAAAAATAAATAAAAAGTAGAGCATCGACGCATAATAAATAATGAAAAAAATGGAAAGAGCCTAAATCATACCTATGCACATTAGCCACACATTATTAAGGCCCCAGAAATGCAACAATGACACTAAAAATAAATGTCCAATGAGCATATTATCCTTTCCTTTCTAATAATTTTAAACAATGAAAATGGGGATTGGTGTTTACACCCACTTTAATGTTAACTGCAGCCATCCTTACATTTCACAACAACCAAGAGGCTGAGAGAGATCAGGAAATCTGTGATTACTAGAAAAGTGTGTGTAAAAACTAAATCCCTGAAAAATTATACCATTAGAAACCAGAAGCTTCATGAGAGGATCCACAAATAGATGGTCGACCAGACTGTCAGGGAAATGGCCGCGACAGCATAGGTCCAAAGGAAGATTACGGAGCATTCTTGTTCCGCTACATTGAAAAACTGTGCCATTGTGCCTGCAATCGCAGTCCACACAACATAAGCCAGCATCTCTCTGTCTTTACACCATTATCGTGAATTTCAGAAAAGGAATCTCTATTAACCGGTGTAGTACACATAACCAGGACCCCGAGTCTCTATTTCTCACAATGTTTAAAAATTCGGCAAGTCTGAGTTGGACTCGCCGATTTTTTGAATACCGTGAGAAAGAGATATAGTTGGGGGTCCTGGTAACGTGTACTTCTCATGTTAATTGAGAATTCCCCTGAGTTACTCAGACTTGGCAATGAATCTGGAACCCAAAACCATGAACAGGCTTAGTTATACCGGTTCGTAATATTTTACTGTTGATTTTGATAATCAGCTGAGTTCTAACATACTTGGCCAAGTCGAGTTGCCTGACTTGGGCCAAGGACCGTGGTGAGTTCCCAGTCCTCTCAGTGAAACACTGTCTCTCAGGATATATATAGATAGATAGATAGATAGATAGATAGAGAGAGAGAGAGAGCTCCAAAGCTTTTCTGCCATAAACTAAATAAGAAAAAGATTTTCGTCAAGGGGTTTCCATACCGAGATTCATGGCAGGTGGAATCGTGAATTGTATCATCAACACATATCGGTACAACGGGTCGGGTGACAACAAACCAAGCTCGCCAGCTAACTTGACGATGCCAATCCCAATTATGGGAAGAATCACATAGCGCACGCAGATAACAGAGAAAACAGCACTGTACTTTATTTTTGATTTGCGCATACCTGCAATGAATGGCAGAAAAAAAGTATAGCACATTTTCATTATCCAAGATTACAAAATTCCCCTGAAGAAAAACATCACAAAAGTTTCAATGCCCTGGTATGGAAGCTCTCAGTTTCAACTTGGCCTAGCATTTGACATATCAAAACCACTAGTAAAACAAGTCAATTTATTTACGCCCTACACAAAAAGTCTAACCCTATAGATGTATGCGATAGCAGAGCTAAAAGTTAACTACCTTCAGTAAGGTTTCCTCCGAGTATAAGAGTGATGCAAGGTATGGTCCCATTCCTGCATGGAAGAGGAAACCAAAATACAAGAGCAATGAGATCCATCATATGTAGAGTCAAACCCAGTAAAAAAATATAACTTGATTAAAAAAAAAAGGAATCATGGATACTTCGGTTATCTTGTGACAGTTTGAGACTTGATAAAAGAAAAACTCATTGGGCAAAATCAGCGGTCATCAGTAGTCAAAGAATGCATCAGATGGTGAATGAAATATGGCCAACATACGCACCCCAGCAATGTAACAACATCCTGTATCACTTTGAGGGGGGGATTTGATCCAACTACTAGAGATTTCAACTGGGGTGTTGCACCGACGGCAAACCCTATAAACTGAAACACATGATTGAAAAAATAAAGTAACATGATCAGTTTCTCATGTCTAATGGGGCCAAAATTCAATTATCACAGAACCATGATAATTACTCTTTACAGAGTGCAAATAATAAAAATTGAATGGCATTTAAAATTTTTGAAGTGTTATTAGGGAAACAAAACAATAACTATGACACATACTGAACCAATAGTTGGAGGTGCTGTCAACTCCTTAACAATCGTGTGAAATGACCCCCTTAATTTTTTCCAGAAACCCTCGCCACTGAGCTTTCCACTAGACGAGTGTGGTACAATCTGCAGGCATGGAGTTAATATGGTCATCATCATTATCGTATTCATATTATGGTTAGGACTTTTTTGATGAATTGGTGTAATTGTTTTAAGATGCTAGCTGCTCATTTTTCTAAATGAGCAGAACATATTGAAGAATACTTTGTTAGACAAAGTAACAAATTATCATCGCATGCAAAACATGTTTGAATATACTTATATAGAAGACCTAGAAGCCTCATATAATGGTTATGTACCTCCCCCTCATTAGCTTTTGAGGGTGTTGACACAATTGGTGCAATGTGGAACCCAGGAGATGCCTCTCTTTGTCCAGAGCCTGATTCACTTTGGGCTTCTGGATCTGTCAAAAGGTGGATTTCTCTTCCTGCATCTAAATCCATGTGAGGTATCTTTGAGTAGGTTTCGTCTGATTGACTTTCTTTGTACAATAAACTTGATGTCCTTATGAGATTGTATCCATATGTCCAGATGTAAAAGCCTCCAAGCTGCACAAACACAAAGAGCTCACTCCAAAAAATTGCAAAACGTTTTTCTCATAGTATGGTAACATAAGAAATCTTATGTTTGGTAGTCCCCTTCACATAATCACTGAAGCCACTTAACCTGCTTCTCTTTCTTTTATTTGGGATAACAAGTTCACAACAAACATATGTACAGTTCAGTTTAGGGCTTGATAGAAAGACTGTTGTTTCGTTGTTTTTATAGCATGTTTTAGTTTTTGTGTACATATGAATTTTAAAAAGTTGTTTGAAGAATCGCGAAGTCTTTCATTGAAATTTTAATTTTTTTGGTAAGTAACATGTATTGACCATTGGAAAGTATACAGTTGAGATTTTTAACTTCAATTATGAGTTCATTCTTTCAATAAAACTGTAAACTACAGAAAACCAACTTGGATACTGTACCGCCATGGAAAAGGATGCATAGGATATTCCACGAACACTGCAAACACTTTGCTCCCCAAAAGGACTGCCATCTTCGTTACAAATTGCAGGGATGATTATGATCATTAGATTACCCAGATTTCCTATTACAAAGAAGCAGAAGGGACTGGAAATAAGGCCCAACTTTGCTATATGTTTAGAAACTTGGTTAAAGAAGAAAGGTACGCATAGAACTTGGTGATCAGGAAAATTTTCGAACCAAAATTGCACTTACCTGATGAACAGCTTGCGACAATAAGGCCTTCTAGATAGCGCTCGGGTTTTGTTATCTTTACAGCAATCCATCCAAGGACTGCTCCAAAGAAGACGGACAACCCAATGTTCACCGGCATGAACCACCTGACACCAGAAAGTCAAGTTAACTTGATTAGCTAGAAAAGAAATCAAATTTAATATCTGGATTACTAAATGACGCTGCATTAGCCGGACAAACTAGAGTACCTTTTTATTATGCAAAGTGGACATATTGTACAGTGATAACAGAGGCATGTGTCACTAGGAGATACAAAGCAGTAGAGATACGTTCTTGTCACATCCCCAACCATTACATATAAAAGTGCCTTGCTGAATAGAGCCTATGAGATGATTGAGGGCCTAATCCTCTACATGCACACTAGATTGCAAATACTTAAAACTTTGAAGATTTCTGCCATCTCTCCTAATCACCTGAAAGATTGCTCATGGACACAACTTCCAGTCTATAAGACCTCTTACTCTAGAAGGGCCAAATGACTAACAAGCCGCTAGAGCTACTCGGATGGTTGGAGTCACACAAAGAATACCATATATACACGACCCTAAAATCTAGACAAAATGCAAAAATTTGACAAGTGGAAGTCCTAGTGAAGCGAAGCCTGGTGCTACTGCTTTAGTCAGATTTGAGCTGCTTCGGACAGCTTCGGTCAGATTCGGGTTTGCCCTAGGCAAAGTTGGCCGAAGCTTCGGCCTCTTCGGCCCAAGCAAAGAAATATCTATATAAAAGTATTTTTTTATTTTTTTGAAATTTTTATTTTTCGGCCGAAGCTTTGGCCTCTTCAGCTCAAGCAAAGAAATACTATGTTAAAGTATTTTTTTATTTTTTTGAAATTTTTATTTTTTCTAACTTTTTCAGTATTTTTATATGTTTCTACATATAACTATCTAATTTATTTATGCTAAATTAAAAAAAATCCTAATTCTTCCCCTTAATCGGCCGAAGCATCGAATTGCTTCATTTTTCTCACCAAACAAGAAGAAGAACTCGAAGCGAATCTGACAACATTGCTTGGTGGATTCATTCTTGAACCAAAAGGAGATGTACTCAACAGGGTAGCAGAATGATAAGAAATCAATAAAGGAACAACATTATGAGTTGCATTTTAAGAGTAACATAATGAATAGTGGAGTTTCCAATTGTATTATATACTAAAAAGTGATCAATAGCATCTTCAAACAGGGGATGCATTCTTATTACTGTTACAAAATTTTAGTGAATAAAATATATGAATTTTTAACAAAAAGCATGCAACTGTTAACAACAAAAACATTAAAAAAAAAAGAAAAAAAAGAAGTAGAAGGGAACATAACAATAACAACGTACCAGGAAACTATGTCTTCCAATGTAACCGATTTGACTAGACTGGCAAACATGAGCGATGGGGTGAAAACAATAAATACAACCTGCTCATGACAAAGCAGATATTATATTTCTATTGAAATCAGTATCAACAAACACAAATGCTCAACTTCCATAAATAACCAAGAAAAGTTCATGTCAGTACAAGGCCTTCCATGTTTAGAATGTATGAACTACCATTGTAGCTAGCATAACATATGTCAGGTCTCATTTCAGCTGAGGATGCTTCTACTCAATGAAAATCAATTTTCATTTGCTTTACTTTCATATTGCTCTGTCATAATATAATCTGTTGTTGATTTCTTAAAAATGAATATACCACTAATTGTTAAGCATCCTCTAATTGCTAGTGTGCTAGATGTAGCTTCCATGCCAACATTATCTGGTTGGACTGCAAGGATCTTATCATTACTCATCCTAATCCCTTCTCTCATGGCATCCTTAGTATTCATCCTTACAATCCTGAAGACAGAAAAAGATATTCATCCCCATTATATGTCAATTTATATCTTCCTTAGCAGAAATATTCCTCTTAATGAACAATTACCTATGATGGGATATAATGTTATATGATATTCTTTCTTCGTTCTGATGATCATATGATACAAGTTTCTTCCCATCATAAAGAATGCCTAGGATGTGATAGCACGAACTTCATAGACCCAGTCACACCAGCCAACAGAAACGTAAAAACAACAGACCAGTTTGTTCAAACATAGAGTATATAAAAAATAAGGAGCACCAGTCCTAGAGCCCACAAAAATTGGCCAATTAGCAAAAGTTTTTCCATTAAACGAATACCATGCATGCACTTAACAATTCACATAGGCAGCCTGTCTGTGGTGGATCCTTGTAAACCCATCAACAGTTCACCAGATTTCCTTGTAGTCCTTAAATGGAATTTCATTATTATCTTCCACAAACTTATGTTAGTATAAATACACTAACTTGAATGGATAGTAGACAACTGGTGACAAACTCAGATGCTTTCCTCCATGATTCTCATGTCTTTATTTGTTCTTTCAATAATTGATTGTCCTATACTTTGAAAGAGCAAAATCCACGCAGTATTGGGATTCAACTTGGAGGGTGAATATGGGGCCACACCTATTACTTGCTGCTCTTAAGTATTTTACGGTCATTCATTTGGTATTTGGATTTCCTGGATGCTTAATCTGAATGTGATGGAGTATTTTTAAGTAAAAGAAAACACACCTTGTTGATATATCTCCGAGCATCAGGTGTAAGTACGTTGCAGTAGCCAGTTGCCAAAAAGGCTCCCAAGCAACTGATAAGAAGGACTTCGAGTATTGGCATACTTGCCACAACAAAGAGTGACGAGAAACCCATATTTTCCCCTCCAATGTAAGATTTTGAATCTGAACTCCAACAATATTCAATATGGTATTGGTTTTGAAAAATGTCTGGGCCAAATAAACCGGCTTTGTTCTGCTTGACCCGAAACCCTAATATAAGAGTAGGAAGAACCTGAAAAACCAGCACCCAGGTTAGCCGGTGCTGTATCTGCAATAAAATCACAAATAATTGAAATGCACATGGAAGAAGAATGAAGTGAAATGAATAATTTGGTTAGGGGTTGAGTTTCATTATTTATATGGCTTTGAATAATGGAACCAGTTCAATCCAAACATAACTATCTTTTGAGGCATTACACTCTCAATCTCATACACAACAAAATGACAAGAAAGAAAAACTAAAAGATGCATAAATATTGAGAATTTTCAGTTAATAGTCACAATTACTCCTTTATTTTACTTTGAGGATGCATTTGACCCAGAAAAAGAGAGGAATTGGAAAAAGTATAAAAAAGAAAGACAGAAAGAAAGAAAGAAAGCAACAAAAACAAAATTCTTATGCAGACGGTGAATATGGAGCCTCAGACATGTGCCTAAAAGAAGCAATCTGCATTGATATATAAACTAACTAAAACGATGAAAAGACACCAGAAAAAACAAAAACAGGAAAATGGTTCAAAACTTTGAAGCGTTGAAGAGACCCCTGATCAAACATATACTGCTGAAAGGAATACAAATAGAGGGCTAAAAGCATTAATTACTGAGAAGGCAATCGAAAACCTGAGAGTCCAAACACTGATCTGAAATTATTTTTTAAAAAATATAATTAGAACTAATCATGTCTGATAGCACTAAGAGAGCTACCATAAGAGAACATCAAAACATCTAAAGCTCAGACTAGTTTATCAATAAAAATAGAACGTCAAATGAAACGTTAGCTATTCTGTTTCAAATCCAAGAAAAATTAAACCAGAACTAGGTAAGGAAGCATTGAAAACCAACATAAAAATAAAAAAAATTAGTATAGGGTGTGGTTTGCATTAGGTTGCAACCTTAAACAATCAAAGTAAAGTGCATCTTCAAACTTTGTCATGAGATGCAATTTTGGTGTCCAAAATTCTTAGGATGGTGCGTGAATCTACTTTTATCTTTAATTATAAACTTTTAAGCTCCAAAAAAGGTTCAAATCACACAGATCTATAGACGCATGAAAATCTTGAAAACGGATGGTTCAGATAATATGTTGCAAGATATACTACTTTTAGCACTAGAAATATCTTTCTCTCTCCTATATCTCGATGTTGAGATGATCAATTGAATGTTTTTCAACATTGAAACAATTTTTTTTGAAGGATTTTAGAGGTACACCTTAACTCTACATTTTAAGGTGTCAACCTTTTATAAACCTTTTGCATTAGAGTTTAACAAGACGCTATTATTCTTTTGATCTTACAAATAAAATAACTTCAAAACATCAAAAATAGCCTGTAATCACTATTCTGAATCCAAGAACAAATATTCCCAATTTTCACAAGAGAGGGTGATATCATCCTTTACCCAAGATAACCAAAAAATATAAAATGGAAAAGTAACTCTAAAAAACGAAAGGGAAGTAATCTTCAATTAAAAAATCCTCTCAATTATGCCATGGATGTAGCAATGTCTACAGTGAGAAAGAAAAGAAACGACTAAAACCACCATAAATAACAATACACCATAAAATTTTAAGAAAGAATAAGATTATAAGTCAAAGAATTAGGAAAAACAAGCTCAGGACCAGATCAAAGCTGCCGAGAAGAATACAAACAAAAAGTTCTAAAGCATGCAATCACAACAGAATTCACTCAAACCGCAGAGTCTAAATAAAGATTTGAAATTATTTTTTAAAATTAGAGAAGTTATAGCACTAAGTGAGCATAAATTAGCTTGAGAAACATCTACGACCAATTTCAGTTTATCAATAACTTGAGAACATCTATTTTAAATCAGAACCAAGCTAAAACGCATTACAAAGCAGTATAAAAAACCTCAAGAGAAAAACGAAAAATCCTTGAAGAACAATTTAACAGAAACGAAGCTATTTCATACTACTAAGAAAAACAGAAAGGAAACTATTTTATGGCTTCAAAGAACAGAGACTGCTACTTACCATTCCACATCCAAGAACAATAATTACAGAACAGCTATTTTGGAAAATGGAGATCTTCTGAAGAAAAATTAAACCAAAAGAGAAAATACATATGAAACATGCGGCTTATCTCAAATATATGCAATCAAGGCATGCATAAAGCACAAAGGAAACAATTACAAGAATATAAAATAAAGGTAAAACTACAATAAAATTGATTAAAAAGAAATTAAGGTCCTAAATTTCAGCCAAAATTCAGAGAAAAGAACAAAAAAAATCCATAAATGAAAATAAAAACAAAATGACACATGCAAGTGAGAATAACAGATATACAGAACCGCAGTTTCTCGTAAAAAACGAACGAAAAAAAAAGGAAGCGGAAGCCTGAATCCATGGAAAATTCACAAACCTGCAACGTAGCTTGGAATCCAGAGCCTGTACTAGCAGCATGGAACTTGGTGAGGGGCAATATGGGAAATGCATCATTACATCGCCGCCATTAAAACAGAGACGGCCCGATTCTACCTCAACTGAAAAAGGGCCAACAAGGAACATTATAAATAGGAGAATGTTCGACCTGGAGTTATTGATTACCAGGCATTGCTGACATAGACACGGCTGCTTTGGCAGCCATGACTTGCGTGCTAACATACGTAACTGTCTGTCATTTTGCTCTCTCTCTCTCTCTCTCCATTTTCTCTGTCCACTTTTTATTAATTAACCCGCCATTGATGGAATGAATGGACTCATTGCATCCTCCGCGGTCTCGGGCGCATCGTGGCAGTACGAATTACGCGGCGAAATGGCAGTCTAAGCATTTCATTTTAAATTCTTTTCCAAACGTATATATTATGCTGCCTCTGGAGCATAGTATATATGTAGTTCCTCGGTCGGTATTCCCACTTGGATTTTTTTTTTTCTCGATCTGAAATTCTGGTATTCACTAAACAATTATTAGATAATTAATTTTTAAAATAAAAATTTTAAATTTTTATTTTTCTAACACTAATGTGTCCGTGTTCACTCTTAAAATATTATTATTTTTTAATTTGTAGAGAGCACAATGAGGGAACTGTTTTTTTTCCTTTTTGGGTTTATCCGTTGAAGAGGTTACATCCCCACAATTTGAGTCATGAAGATCATCGGTTTTATCCAAGGGAGTATATACTACGGCAGGACTATACAATCTTTTGATTAGGAGATTAACTTCTGGGAGAATGTCGTGCTTATCTTCATTCTTTCGCTAACTTTATGGAAAATGTTATGTATTGTATTACTTATCATGCGAAATATATAGAATGAGACCATTGACCTTTGTATTGATACAAGGTGGTCATTTTAATCTTGACCATTAGATTGTGAAAATGGGTGGTTGCAATTATTTAATGGACCAAGCTCATGCGGCTACCTTCCATTAATGAAAAGACGCTCATTTGGAAAGCGTTTATATAAAGATGCAACCTTAGAGTGTTATGGCAGTTGCTCGCGTCTCCTCTTCATCATTGTAGGAAAAAGTTTATATAAGTATGCAATCCTATAAAGTAGAACTACGGATGCATCTCAAAAATCTATCGAAAAAGGTACTTTTAAAGTTGAAAAACCCTTTGATTGATCATCTTGACATCGAAATGCATGACCATGAAAAATAAAAAGATTTTAAGTCTCAGAAATAGCGCATTTTACAATATATTATACACCGTCCATTTTCAAGATGTTCATATATTTATAGATTTACTTGATTGTAACTATTTTTGAAATTTAAAATTTTATAATTAGATATAAAAATAGATTTTGAGATAATCCTAATAAAATTTTACATCAAAATTATATACCATGATAAAATTTGAAAGTGCACTTTAACTCTACAGCTACGGATGCATCTGTATGCCAACTGCACCCTTAATTGAATGGTGATGACATTGTGGCGTACTACTTCTCCACAATCTTTGCTTTTTTCGATTTTTCAAGGAGGGTTGGCTTAATGTAGGGATTTGGAAAAATGATGGAGTTGGACTATTTACCATTGTTCCAAGGAGGTTATAATCACTCCTTGGCGTTATGTAAAATCGTAATGCTTGTTGTAGGAATTTCACTCAAGATCAAGCAATATGGCACAATATTAATTAAATACGAAGAAATTTACATGCATATCCCCTTAAATTTTTATTAATTAAATTTTTTGGATCAAATTGCTCCTATTTAGGACCTTTGAGGTCTTTGGTATCTTAGTTAAAAATAAACTTTATACCTTTAAAGTATGAAGTTGAAAAACACCTTTTGGATCTTCAACATTTGATTTTTTTTATTAATTAAAAAAGAGCCCTTTGAAAAAGTTAAACTTTCGCAACTTTTTCTATACTATTTCAAAAGAAACACTTTGGAAAAATTAAATTTTGGACCCTCTGAAGGTTCAAAATTTGTTTGTAACTATTATTCAGAAATTAAAATTTCAAAAAATGTGAAAACATGGATACGAATGATGGATAATTTTGGAGGAATTTTTGAATAACGATATTTATAGGGTAATATGTCGGGTTCCAATATTTCAAAGAATAAAGCCATTCTTTTTCTAGTATAAAGTTGTCATTATTTATTATTCTCTAAGGTGCATTGAAAAGATTAATTTATAAACAAGTATTGATGAATGACACTTTATAAGCACGGGTGCAGTTTTTGTAGGGCCATGGCTCTACGATACTTGCTAAAGTTTACCTTAAACAATCCAATTAAAGCGCATCTTCAAATTTTATCATAACATGTAATCTTGGTGTAAAAAATTCTAAGGATTATTTGAAATTCAATTTTTATATCTAATTATAAAATTTAAAATAAAAAAATAGTTAAAATCAAGTAGATTTATAAATAAATGAAAAATTGAAAATGGATAGTCAAGATAATGTATTGCAAGATATACTATTTTTGAGACTCAATAAATATATATATCTATATTCATATATCTTGATGTCGAGATAATTGATTAGAGGATTTTTCAAGATCAAAACAACATTTTCCAATGGATTTTTTAAGTGCATCTTAATTCTATATTTTAAGGTTGCTTTTCCCTTAGTTAAAATAGCAGCATATTTTAGTTAAAAAATTCATCTCGAACCTAATATTTAAAAAGTTTGAAAGTGTTTTTGCTAAAAGAGAGACCGAGTATATGCATATTTGTTTCCATTTCTATCACGGATAGGGCCACAGGGGACCCCATCTCTACTAAACTTGCAAAAAAAAAACAAAAAAAAATCAAAGAAAAAGCCTTATTAATAATTGTCAATATGATAAAAATACTAACCATTTAATTATTACTTTCTTTTTGAGCTTTCCTTTACTTCTTACTATCTCAGCACAAGAAAAAGCCAAACAAGTAACCCAAATACAATCGAAGGTCCGTCCAAATTATTATCTTATATTTCAGGCCAATCAATAGGGTTCTCAAAACATTCACAACATGAAATGACTTATTTTAGTCCACAAAACGTTAGCAGACAAGTAACCCAAATACGACCGTCCAAATTATTATCTTATATTTCAGGCCCATCAATAGGGTTCTCAAAACATTCACGACATGAAATGACTTATTTTAGTCCACAAAACGTTAGCAGACCAGCCAAAAAACAATTATTAAAGCTTATAAGTGTCAATCTGCATTTTCAACCATATAAAGTCAATAAGAATGGTTTGTCCCAATAAATTAATAAATAAAATAAAATAAAAAAAAGGTCCCTAAGTTGCAAGGGTAGCAATTGGCTCTGCTCAGCTCGGCCTGGCCCAGCCATAAAAAAAAATAAGGGCAAGCCCACAATATGTGGCCCGAGGGTTGGGGCAGGCCGCCATGGCCAGAGGGCCGAACCAAGCCGGCCTTGGGCTGTGACAACGCCAACCTACTCCACTTTTTCTTTAAGTTTTCTTGTGCTTTTAAAAAAAATTATTTACCCCAGCCCAGCCCTAATAGGATTAGGGCTGGGGCTAGGCCAAGAACTCTTTGGCCCAGTCCGGATCGGGCTTCGGCTAGCCTTGGCCCAGCCTGTTGCCAGCCCTACTAAGTTGATTTTGTTGATTTTAGGGCTAAGCATCTTGCTCCGTTGGTTGGGATCAGAGTATCAATCCCTAGCTTTTCAACCCTAATAAACATGTTTACTAAATAAACACGTTTTAGTTTTAGGGAAAAAAATATACGCATGCTTTTGTTTTTAGGGAAAAAAATATACGCATGCTTTTGTTTTTAGGAAATAAGTACTTACACACACGTGCTCCATGGTTGCTTTCCCATACATTAATGGACGGCAGTGCTGATATGCCTTTATTTACACTTACATTATTGTCTAAAGGTCACATTCCTTGGGAATATTTTAGTCACGAGATTGCTCTTTGTTGGACGGCGAGTGTGAAGTCTGAAAGACAGGGACCCACATATACATTATGAGCCCGTAACGCGCTTGGTAGGGTCTACTTTTCATATCACCCCATGGTGATAAGTCATGGTATCGCTGCTCACAAGTGTCAGAACCGACTCGTATTTTGTTAAAAAGGTCGATAAATCGGGCATGTCTGCATGACCTTTATATACAAATAAACCATAACAAGTTGGGAAAATAGTTTTATAAGACTGCAACTCTTTTAAAATAAAAAATTATAGTTAAAAGTATTAAAAAAACCTTTACATCAATCATTTTGGCTTGAACATTATGCTTGTGAAAAAAAATTAGGATTTTAAACTCTAAAAATAATATATATTATAACAAATTATTTGGACAGTCTATTTCACCTTAAAAATAAATATTTATACGTTCGCAAGATCCATAAGAATTTTTGAGTTTCAAATATTATTTCAGGCAGTAAAAATTGATTTTGGATTCATCATGGAGATTTTCATTGCTTAAAGTATTTTCCAAATGAGGATGGGAGGTGAGGCTTTATTTTGTCTTCATAAAGCCTATAAGTTTTGATATGTGTACTATAATTACCTCTTTTATGCCACGTAAGAAGCAGATTATGTAAGGGGCTTGTCCAATGTATTGTTATCATTGCTAGTTCATTAGTTTTATAAAATTAATATTGATAACAAATTATTTGTAGTTTGAAAATATCATTTATAAAGTTAACTGAGATAAACTTACATACAGTGTTTTATATATATATATATATATATATATATATATATACGA